CATCATCATGATCATCATCATAAACATCGTCCTTCATCCTGCTCCTCCTCATCGTCCTCCTCCGAATCCTTCTTCATCTTCACTTCCCCTCCTCCTCGTCTGCAGCCCTGACCCCCCATCACGATTCTCCGCCTTCTCCTCCTCCTCCTCCTCCTCCTACTCCTCCTACGCATCATCAGCATCACCATCATGATACAAATAATACTTCCACAGCATATTCATCGTGTGCAGTATTGTCTCTACTAACGCTTTTCCTCAACATCATCGTGTCAATCATCGTCAGCATGTTAATTAGCATCCTCATCATCATTACCCTTAGTCGTTCTCCTCCTCCTCCTCCTCATCCTCCTACCCCCTCCTCCTTCTCCTCCTCCGCATCACCATCATAATCAACATCGGCATCATAATCAACACCACCATCATTATCATTATCATCATCAGCACCATCACCATCAGCGTTGTCATCATCATCACATCATTATCACCCTCATCATCACCACCATCACCATCATGATCATGAGCATCATCAGCAGCTCCACCATCAGCATCATCAGCATCGTCACCATCGCCATCAGCATCATCATCATAATCATCATCATCAGCATCATCATCATCATCAGCATCATCATCATCATCATCATCATGATCGGTATCATCACCCTTACCATCACCTTCATCATCAGCATCATCAACATCATCATCATCACCCTCATACCCCATCCCTCGTCCCGCATCTCCCCTCCTCCTTCGCCGGGGCCTCCTCCTCATCCGACCTCTTGCTCCTCATGTTCCTCCTCCTCCTTCTCCTCCTGGTCCGCCTCCTCATCTGCTTCCTCCTCCATGTCCTGCCTCCTCCCCTCCTCATCCTCATCTTTCGTCCTCATCCCACTCAGTCTCCGCATGTTGCGCCTCCCCAGTCGTCCTCACTCCTCCTCCCGCTCCTCCTTCCACCTCCGCCCCATTCCTGATCCTCGCCGTCCCTGCTTATCCTCCTCAGCACCCTGCTTCCTCCTCCTTCCGTGCCCTCCTCCTGATCCTCCTCCTGCTTCCCCCATCCCCCCGCTGCCTCCATGTCCCATTCATCATCACCCTTCTTTCTCCTCCCTCCTCCTTCCCCCCTCGTCCTCCATTATCTTTCTCAACCTCACCTCTTCCCCCTGTCTTCCTCAACCTCACCTCTCCCACCTTCTCCTTCCTTCCTTCTCCCCCCTCGTCCGCCTGTCCTCTCTCCCCTCCTCGTCCCTGCTCCTCTTCGTGGCATTTCGCTCCATGCTCCACTCCCCCCTCCTCCCTCGCCCACCACCTATGTCCTCCTCCCGAGACATCCCTCTTCTCTCCGTCTTTGCTCCTTTGTTGGCCCCCCACTCCTTCACCTCCTCCCTCCTCCCTCCTCCGTGTTCGGTTCTCGCCTCCGCCTCCTGAGGACATCCTCGTACTCCGCCCCCATCTGTCTCCTCCCGCGCCCGCCCCGTGTCCCGCCTCGACCTCATCCTGAAAGTTCTCTTTCGCCTCCTCCTTCCTCATCCTTTCTGCTCATCCACCCCCTCCATCCTGCGCATTATCCTTCTCCTCCCTGGCCGTCATCGCTCCCTCCCTCCCTCCTCCTCCGTCCCTCCTCCTCTTCCTCCCCCGCCTCCCCTTTTCAAACCGAATCTGGCCGTGGCGACAAGCGACCGGCAGCGGCATCGGTATCTCTTCCTCATCTGGGTCTCCCGCCCGCCCCCCACATCTAAGGACCTCGAAAGGACGTGCGCGTTCCCGGCCACGTCCATGAATATGAATGTACCCCCACCGTTCGCGAGGGCCCCCTCATGTCACGAACGCTCGCATAATGCGTTATCCCAGAACCCCTGAGAATTCATGGGCGTACATGTGCTGTTTTTCCTTCGCCCCTGAACCTTCACCCCCGCCGCCTCCTCCACGGGCTCAGCTGCAGAGTTCCTTTCAAACGTGAGGATCGGGGGGGAATTGGGGATGATGGGGATGACGGGGGAGGAGGGGGGGAGGGGAGGAGAAGGCGAAGGGGAGGCTCCGAACGAGGCCCGGCCAAGATCGAGAGGAGGTGACAGTTCCCTGGGGCCCTGGGGGGCGACGCGTGTGTCCGAAGCGCCCGAGTCAGCCGAGAAGCTGTGGCGGCTGGGCGAGCGGGGCAGGCGACGACCAGCGCGAAAGCAGGGCACGGGCGGCTGCATTGGAGGCGGACGCTGGAACGTCGGCCGTCGATGAGGCAACTGGCTTCATGTTGCTGCGACTGCGGAAGTTGAGCGCGTCGCGCGTTGGACCACACTCCGCAGCGACAGGTCGCTGACGGGGCCGAGCGGATACGCGGCAGGATTGGAGCGGAGGAGAAGCAGGGGACCAGAGACGGCCCAGGGAGGCGGGGGCGGGGAGATGGCGGAGAAACGGATCTGGAGCCTGCGCGCATCCGAACACGCAGCACCTCGGGGCGAGCACGTGCACGCGGGCGGTGATCGTCCAGCCGCCGCTGGCGCTCGCGGGCGCGGCCCAGCGCCAGCGGGGGCGGACAGTCTGGAGCTCCTGGGAGAGGAGGGCCCACCGCCTGGAAAGCCCGCCCGGCGAGGGCAGCTGGCCGATGACCCGCGCGACTGGACGCCTCTGCAGACCGGCAGTGCAGGGCGCACGGGAGGGCAGCGCTGCGGATGGCCAGCGCGATGGCGGGCCATCGAACTGTCCAGGCGGGCAGCTCCGCCGGCGGGGCCGATCGACTTGTCAAAGCGGGCAGCGCGGCTCGCCGGAGACACGACTGCCGCAGAGAATGGGGGCTGGCGAGGAGTGCTCACCAGTGAGCAGTAGCGCTGTTCGATGGGGCGCGGCTCGCCCCAGACCGGCGGCGACCAGCGGCCTGCGACAAACTGGCGGACGCGAAGCCATGCGCACTCTTCCCGCGCGGCGTCTCGCATGCGATCGCGGAAGAACTCCTGGCCACCCTGGCTCGCGAAGATGGCAGAACGCAGCGCGGCGGCCGTGGCTGTAGCGCGCGCCGAACGCGGGACGCCGGGCAAGTCCCACTGCGCCAAGGCAATGGGATCTACTTTCCGGAATGATCTCGGCGGCGCGCTATCATTTGTGGCGCAAGATGCACAGCTCGCGACGGGCAGTATTGTTGGTTCTCCAAAAGGAAATGTGCGCAGCATGGCTGAGCGTGGACAGAGTGGATGCGTTGTATCTACGCACTGTAGAGTCACGGTCGCCTTGCACGAGGTTGAGAGGACTATCCCTTTGCCGCAATTTGCACCACGGGGCGAGCCCATGAGCTCGAGCTGCAAAACTGCCATCCCCGCCCCCCAATCCCGCCCCGACGGCGCGTGCCCATCCACCCCCTCGAACCCGAGGGGAGGAGGGAGGAGGGAGGAGGGAGGAGGGAGGAGAGAGGAGGGAGGAGGGAGGGGGAGGAGGGAGGAGGGAGGAGGGAGGGGGGAGGAGGGAAGAGGGAGGAGGGAGGGGGGCGGGCGGTCCAAGGAGGGCCCCGAGGTGCTCGGCCTGCCCCGCAACCGAGAGACCTCCCCGCGCGGGGCGACAGTGCCCCACAAAGGGTGTTGGCGCGGGCAAATTTGGCCGGAGACGCTTCGGCCTAGAGCGGGGCGACCGAGCACTTGCGCGACTTCAGAGACAGGGGCGCCGAGCCACAGAACGGCACGCTTTCGCCAGATCCTGCCGAATCGACGCGCTTCCCCATGAAATCCGATCTTCAGCTGCTCTGCGACAGCGAAAACAGCTCAGACGCACGGCGCAGCGCGTCGGAAGGGCTCGACGCTGGGGTGGCCGGAGCCCGCGGCGAGCGCGCCGGCGCGCCCGGCAGGGCGCCGTGCGGCCTGCTGCGCCGGGGAGCGCGGCGCAGTGTTGAAGTCACGGTGCGGCGCGGACGAACTCCGAGAACTCCGGACCGTCCAGAATTGTAGAATTTCTAATATTGTTAGAACCTTATATTTTTCTTTTTGGGAAAACAGCTTTTTCTGATTTTAGCATAGAAAGACGACGCTATTTTAGAACATTTTGACAGATTTCAAAAATTCTGAAATTCCCGGGGCGCCCAGAAGCCAAAGACCAGCCGACCAGGAGCCCCGAGAACTCCGGACCGTCCAGAATTGTAGAATTCTCAAGGAACAGTTATGAGACATGCAAAAACTCTTAAGTTACAAAATCTATACACTTCCAGAAATTATGAAATTCCCAGGGCGCCCAGAAGCCAAAGACCAGCCGACCAGGAGCCCCGAGAACTCGGGACCGTCCAGAATTGTAAAATTTCGACTCATGTTAAAAACTGTCCATTTTTGACAAAGCATTCACAATTTAAGCATTTGCACAAATTCTGAAATTTCTTGCAAATTGTGCAATCAAATCCCAGGAGGAGGAGGCGGAGGAGGTGGAGGAGGCAAGAGAAGAAGGAGGAGGAGGAGGAGGAGGAGGAGGAGGAGGAGGAGGGAGGAGGAGGGAGGAGGAGGAGGACGAGGAGGAGGAGGAGGAGAAGGAGGAGAAGGAGGAAAAGGAGGAGAAGGAGGACGAGGAGGCGGAGGAGGAGGAGCAGCAGGAGGAGGAGCAGGAGGAGGAGCAGCAGCAGCAACAGCAGGGAGAATCCCCCAAGACGATATCCCGTCGTGGTCGTACCCTCCCTCCCTCCTTCCCTCCTTCCCTCCCTCCCTCCCTGCCTCCCTCCCTCCCCCCCTCCCTCCCTCCTCGACTCTTCTCCCTCCTCCCACCCCGCGGCACCGTGGCGTTGTTCCACGCGCCCTTCTGCTCGCCGCCCCCAGCGGGCGGGGTGCCGCCCACGACGCCCTGAGGACGGGCGGGCTCGCGCGGGGGGGCGGCCGACGTCGTGCGGGCGCGCGGGCGGCCTCTCGGCGAGGTGCCCCGGGCGGGCCGCCACAGGGCCTCAGGGGAGAAATAGCCCACTAATACCAAACGATCATCAAAACACAGGGCCAACAGGAATAGCCCCCAGACCCTTCTTGGACGATTCGTGAAAATGCCTCACGTCGTTCATTGCTAATCGTGCTCATTTCTACTGGTGCTCGTTTCTAAGTGTTCCTGGCCCCCTAGTGGCCAGAAAGAGGCCCAGGATAGAACAATTAGAAATGAAAGGATCTTGGCCCCGTGGAAAATGAAAGAACTTTCGAAGACATACACATGATCAATGTGTATGTTGCTCCCATCGTACTTGAGGACCACATCCCAAAAATGATTTCGAGCACCCGAAAGAAGTATCGAAACAGTGTCGGACGAGTATCGCCTCCCAGAGCCCGACACGTGAAAACCAGCCGGTTTAGGTACTTTTTGGTGCTCGAAATGACTCCTGGTGATTCGGGCTAAAACAGGTTGGAACATCATCACACAGGGACAGGACCAGCCGGCGACAGCGATGATGGCGACGGCGACGGCGACGGCGACGGCGACCCGACGACGGACAGTGATGGACAGCGACGGACGGCGACGGACGGCGACGGACGGCGACGGACGGCCACGGCGGCGACGACGACGACGACGACGACGACGACGACGACGGCGACGACGAGGACGACGACGACGACGACGACGACGACGACGACGACGACGACGACGACGGCGACGACGAGGACGACGACGACGACGACGACGACGACGACGACGACGACGGACGCAGGACGACAACGGACTGCGACGGCGACGCCGACGACGACGACGGCGGCGGACGGCGACGGCGACGACGCCCCGAGCGCGGGCGCGCGGGGAGGCCGCCGTCGCGCGGGCGCGCTGGCGGCGGCCCCTCGGGGAGCGGCCCCGCCGGCCGAGGGCCAGGGCACCGGGGCAGCATCTCGCGACTCGTGGCGCTGCTCGATCGTCGTCGTCGTCGCCAGTCGTCGTCGCGGTCGCCAAACGTCGTCGACGTCGTCGTCGTCGCGGTCGTCAAACGTCGTCGTCGTCGCGGTCGTCCTTCGTCGTCCGCCGTCGCCGTCGTCACCGTTGTCGTCGCCGTCGTCGTCGTGGTCGTCGCAGTCGTCATCGTCACCGTCGCGGAGGTTCGCGACGACGACGACGACGACTCCAGGACGACGACGACGAGAAGGAAAACGACGAACGACGACGACGACGACGACGGCGACGGCGACGGCGACGACAACGACGGCGACGACGGCGACGACGGCGACGACGGCAACGACGACGACGGCGACGACGACGGCGGCGACGACGGCGACAACAGACGAAGACGGACGCCGACGACGAAGGACGACGCACGCACCTGGCACCCACGCCGCCAGATCCTCGACGCTGCTCCATCATCGAGGAGGTCCGTTGAAGCTAGAGCCTCCGTTCCCAGACTTCCGGCTGCTCCAGTTTGTTCGATGCGTGGGCCCTGAAGGTCTGGACCAAGTCTGGATTTTCGTGCCGAGTCGGTTTGAGCCTGTTTTTTTAGACTCTGGCAAGTTTACTTGCATGGACGGGGGGGGGGGGGCTGAGCCTGAAGCAAGCCCGGGGGGGTGGGGGGCGCGGAAATCACGCAAGTCGAAAGGCACTTGCACGCTAGTATTCGCTTGAAGAGGGGCGAGGGGGGGGGGGGGGGGGGCGAACGCCATGCAAGTAAACTTGCCTGAATCAAAAAAAAACAAGCTCTTTTCTGACTGTCCCGGGGCCCGGCGAGGGCCCCCGGAGGCCGAAAACGGCCGGACCATCGCGCGCTCCATTGGTTTCTGGAGCGTCGGCTCTCTGGGGTCCGACCTCTGAGGGCCGAGCAGAGAGGGCGAGAGCGGGGAGCACCGCGTGACCAAACCTTGACCTTCGGTCGCCGATCCTCCTCCCATCGGGAACGGCCAAGAGGGGGGTGTCCAAGAGGGGGGTGTGCAAATCATGACCGGCGGCATGTGCGCGGCCCAGCGGGGGGGCCAGGGACGTGATGAAACAAGAAGAGGCGCCATGAAATATGGGGAAATATCAGGGCCCCCGCCATGATGTCCACCCCCCCCTAAGTCATCACCCCCCTCTTTTCCGCCCCCGATCCCAAGATCTCTCGGGAGTCGAGCCGGGAGGTCGGCTCGGGGCGGGGCGCGCGGCGGAGCGGGGCGGCGTGGGCACGGCGCGGCGCCGCGCGCAATAGGGTCGGCCGCGCCAGGATGCACGGCGCCCCGCCGTGCGAGCCTCGGGCCGCATCTGGAGCAGGGGCCGATCGTCCTGGCATTCCCATAGGCCTGCCACGTGATATGATTAGAACCCCCAAAAAATGTTCGAGTAACAAACAAATTTCTTAGAACACAATCGCCGATGTGTTAAAACAGGACAGACTCAGCCAGAGATGGTCAAATCATAGTTCGCGCAGACCACACAAGGTTCTCAGAGCGTTGTTTGGTAGGCCTACAGGCGAGCTCGGACGCTTCGCCACTGCTTGAGCATCGGACCTTCGGGGACATCGGATCGGCTCGGATCGTGCCAGCTGGAGTCGATGTCCGATCGGGTCGATCGCTTGGGCCACCCCCTTGGGCGCGCCGCCGGGCCACTGCGAGCTGCCGCCGACGACGACTCCAGGACGACAACGACGACGGAGGACGTCGAAGGAAGATCAAGGACGACGACGACGACGACGACGACGACGACGACGAGTCCAGGATGACGACGACGACGACGACGACACCGACGACGACGACGAATCCAGGACGCGACGACGAATCCAGGACGACGACGGCAGGACGACGACGACAACGATAAAACGACGACGGCAGGACGACGATTACGGCGACGACGACAAAGGACGACGAAGGACGATCAAAGACGACGACGACGACGAAGACGACGACTCCAGGACGACGACGACGCCAGCCGGCTCCGACGACGACGACTCCAGGACGACGACGACGACGACAACGACGACGACGACACCGACGACGACGACGACCGCGACGACGACGAAAACGACGAACGACGACGACCGCGACGACGACGAAAACGACGAACGACGACGACGACAACGACGCCGCCGACGACGACGAAGGACAAAACGAAGACGACGACGACGACGACGACGACGACGACGACGACGACGACGACGACGGCGACGACGCACGCTCCTGGCAGCTACGACGCCTGGACGACGTGGGCGGGGTAGTCACCAAGGGTCCGCGGCAGGGGCAGGCCCACGGAGGGAGGGGGCCCCGTGGAGACCCTGTCAGCACTCGGCGCCGCTGCGCCGCCTCCTCCTCCTCCTCCTCCTCCTCCTCTTTCCCCTCCTCCTCCCCCTCCTCCTCCCCCTCCTCCGCCTCCTCCTCCTCCTCCTCCTCCCCCTCCTCCTCTTTCCCCTCCTCCTCCTCCTCCTTCTCCTCCTCCTCCTCCTCTTCATCCTCCTCCTCCTCCTCCTCCTCCTCCACCTGCGCCTGGAGCAGCGAGAGAGCGGCGCAGACATCGCCTTTCCGAGGCCCGCCGTGGCTGGGCGCTGCTCGTTGGGCGGGCGACCCTTTTAGGGCCCCTGGCATTACCAGCCTGGAACATATCCCTATCCCTAAGACTGACACGCCAAAAGGAGATGACAATCCTAGGGATACACCCTCAGAAACTCAGGAGATCCCTAAGATCGCCATCGTGATGAGGCGATGCCCAACATAGGGATAGGTAGATGTTCCAGGCTGGTAATGGCAGAAGAAACAAAAACGGCACCAACATCAACTGTATCGACGCTCCGCGCGGACTGCTGAAAGATCATGTTCATGCCGGTGTTTCTTATTCGACCTGGGGTGCACGAACAAAACAGCGTCTTCCTTTGCAGTGTTGTTCCCGTTCTCCCTCGTTCTGCCTTCGTTCCGCCCCTGCTGCAAGTCGAGATCGAGACGAAAAGCGGTCCGCAAAGGATCGCCTCAACACCATTCCGCTCGCGCCGGCCCTGTTGAAGGGGCCCCAGGACACACAAATAAATACACACAAATAAAATAATTCCCCATATTTTCCCATATTTTCTGGGTTTCTGTCTTCCCCCCCACTTCCCATATTTTCGCATATTTTCCTGGGGATCGACGATTAATTGTGTCTGTGTGTTTTTTCCCCTCCTGACCTGTGTGCGTTCCAGGAGTGCTGGAGCACCGGGCTGCCCGCGCTCCTGCTAGAGCCCCCCCCATGTGCCGCCCCCCCAATACGTCACGCCTGATGTGGACCTCTCGGGTCGGGGCTGGACCCTCCTGGCGGCGCCGCCAGCGCTGGCCCCCTGGCGCGCTCCGCGCGCTAGAGGCGCGGGGGGTCCCAACGGCAAGAGTTGACTTGCCATCGCTCGGACGCCCATTCCCCGCTCGTCGTGCGGCTTTGGGCGTGCTGCTGGTCTCCAGATGATCCAGGGTGCTCCGAGGGGTGGTCCAGGCTTTCCGGCGCTGGCCCCGCCGAGAAAGATGCACTCGCCCAAAGCGATGCCAAGCTGATGCTTATGCGGTCTGATGTTCCTCGGCATCTCCCCCGCTTCAACATCCTCCAGCCTCTCATCGGCCGTCGCGTGAGCCCCGTGGTGCCTGCCATAGCGCGAGACCCCCTGGTGAGCTTTTGTGGTACCAGCGTCTCATTGCCACCAAACACTGAGTTGCGCACCCCGTCAAGACCAAACATCAACATGCAATGAACAGGCATGTATGGGGGTAAAAACACATGGCCACGTGTCACGACCTGAACCAGGAGGTGTCACATAGGAACATAATCATTATCAATGGTACTCGTAAGCAGAGCAAGCATGCAATCATGTCTGTGGCCTCGGACGGCATGCGATCACAAGCGAGAGGGTGGACAGGGGACGACTGAAGAGAGCCGAGCGAGTACAAGCTTCCAGAACTGGAATGCAATATACATGATGTGTGCGCCACGACAGAATGGAACCAACGAGTCAAAGGCACGGGAGAAGGCGGGGGAGAAGGTAGAGGATGAGGCTGGCCATCAAAGACTCGAAGTGCGGCTCGAAGCAGTTCGGCTCGTGGAAGCATCCGTAGGCAGTCACGGTGGTCGAGGTCTCGGTCGAGGTCCCAGTCGAGGAGGACACCGTGCTCGAAAATGTCTCGGGAGATGGCTTTTCGAGTCTTGCCTGGGATCATCCTCGTCCCCTCGTCCAAAGACCTCCGACTTACCAGCCTGGAACATATTCCTATCCCTATGCTGGGCACTTCCTCATCACGGTGCCAATCTTGGGGATTCCTCTTCTTTGGAGGGCGGATCCCTGAGATTGTCATCGCCTTTGGGCGTGTCAAACTCAGGGATAGGGATACGCTCGAGGCTGGTAACAGACAGCTTCCAGACTCCTAGACAGGCTGCCGAGAACCATCCTGTGATGGGCCTGTTTTCCACCACCACCACCATAAGTTGGAGGGGGGAAGGAGGTGGAGGACGAGGAGGAGGAGGAGGAGGAGGAGGAGGAGGAGGAGGAGGAGGAGGAGAAGGAGGAGGACCCCCTCCCCCTCCAACTTATGGTGGTGGCGGCGGAAAACAAGCCCATCATCCTGGAGCGCAGGGGCTCAGAAGCTCCCTCGCTGCCCCCCGGGCGCTCTGCTGCAGACGGGGGCCCGCCCCTCGACGGGCGGCGGGCGAACCGGGAGCCGCCCGGCCGTGCGAGGGTCCTCCGCCCCTCGCCATGCCAGAGATCTGCGACACGCGGGAGCCACCCCGGGCAAGTCTGGCTGCTGCCTCGAGCTTGGGCGCACGGGGCCCCGTCGCGGCCCCCCGGGTTGGGCGTGGCTTAATGGGAGGGTCACAAATGGGGGGGTCAGAAACGGTCCCCTTTCGTGCCCCTTTCGGGCCCCTCTGGACCCCCAGGGGGCTCGTTTAGGTACCGTTTGGGTACCTTTTCGGACCACCGACCACCCTCACCAACCCCCCATTTATGACCCCCCTATTACGCAACGCCCAACCGGGGGACCACGAGAGCCATCCTGGCGAGACACCAAGTCCAAGGGGTGGGGTCGAAAGCCCCAGGGTTACCAGCCTCGAGCGTATCCCTCTCCCTAAGATTGACACGCCAACAGGCGGTGACACTCTTAGGGATCCGCCCTCAAAAAGTGAGGGAATCCCCAAGATTGGCATCGTGATGAGGAGATGCCCAGCATGGGGATAGGGACATGTTCCAGGCTGGTAACCTGGGCAAGTCTGGCCTTCGGTGCGCGGCTTTTTGTGTGGGGGAGCCGCGAGGGGGCAAACGCACGAGCGCGCAAGACACGGCGATCGCACCGCGCTTGGCGATCGGGGGGCTCAGTGGGCCCGCACCAAGGGCCACTCTGGCAAAGGGTCACTCTTGCGTGGCGGATTCCGGGAGCCCTGAACCCCCCAAAAGATGTCATCTCTTGGGGGCGCATCCTTTGCTTCCGCCGACCGTCCGCCGCCCTTCCGCCGAGGAAGAGATGGCAACTCCTTCTATCCTCGAAGGCGAGGCCCTTTTGAACGCCCCACGCAGGCGAAGATGTGCTTCGGCGCAGCCGCATCGAGTCGGCTGGCTGCTGCCTCGAGCTTGGGCGCAAAGGGGGGCCCGCCGCGGCCACCCGGGAGACCACGGGAGCCATCCGGGCGAGGCACCAAGTCCAAGGGAGGAGGAGGAGGAGGAGGAGGAGGAGGAGGAGGAGGAGGAGGAGGAGGAGGAGGAGGAGAGGAGGAGGGGAAGGAGGAGGAGGAGGAAGGAGGAGGAGGGAGGAGGAGGAGGAGGAGGAGGAGGGAGAAGGAGAGGAGGAGGAGGAGGAGGAGGAGGAGGAGGAGGAGGAGGAGAGGGGGGTCGAAAGCCCCCAGGGGGGCACGACACAGTCGCGACGTCGGGCGTCCGGGATCCCCCCTTCGCGTCTGGGGGTCGAAGGCCTCGGGGGCGCACGCTAGGATCTCAACGTCGGGCGTCCAGGCGCCTCCTTCCCTGCGTGGAGCGGACCTTGGCAGTGGAGCTGCGGCGCTCATGCGGCAGGCGGTGGCCGCAAAGGACACAGCGGGGCCTCCAGGCTGCCAGGACGAGCGGCCCAGGAGGCTCGCCATCGCTGGGACGTCCATTCCCTGTGTTTTTGTTCGGTTTCGTGCGTGTTTTTTTCGCCAAATGGTCAAGGATGCTCCTCGATGGTCCTCGCCGAAGGAAAAATGCACACGTCCGAGCGATGCCAAGGAGGTGCAACGAGAAATGGCCAAAGCGGAGAGCCCGCGAGGGCAAAGAGCATCAGATCTGCAGGCGTCGGCGAGGCAGTCCCCATCCCCCCATCCCGTCCTCATCTACCCGACCCTCCCATGGCATGTGTGGCCTTTTACCGAAGGCTTGCAATGCACAGGACTCAAGTTCTTATGCCCTGAGGTCGATTCGGGCCAATGTGCCAGGATCCTCCTCCTCCTCCGCCGCCTCTCCCCCCCCCACACCGAGTGCGAACATGTCCAACAATGTGCCACACTCTCGCGAGGATCGGCTGCAGATCTCTACTGCCGTTCACCTTTTAGACGGCATCATGCTCTTATTCGCAGCACCTTTATTGTCTAAAACCTGCTTCGGATTATGAGTTCCTGGTCCTCGGAATAATGATCATCTGAATTCGCTGGCGACT